TTCGTGGCCTATATAGAGCGGATAGGGCTTGAACTGGAGCGTTGCCAAGGAGGTCTTTACACTAATGATGCCATTCTCTTTCCGCAGCATTTGGCGGGAAGTGCTGTTCTGGCTGCTATAGTTTTTTTCGCTGCGGATGCTGAGGCGTGTCGGGACGCAGGGTTTGGAATGGCGCCACCCCCTTTTCCGCCAACTGTGGTCGCTATCATCTTCCACAATTGGCTGAAAACAGATTGGCGTTTCACGTTGCATGAAAATGTACAGTTGATGTTGTGGCAGTCAATCGGGCTGCTTCAGATGTCATATATAGAGCTCATCCGCCATGTTTTCTTCCATAGGTTGCTTTCTTCGAGATCGGTATTGGTAGAAAGCGCAGGTGGAGGAGAGCTCATTCCACGCCTACTGACATCATCCCGACTGATTGCGACGATATCATCTATAAATGTATGCATACAGATGTCTAACTTTTTAGGGTATAAATCTTTCTGGGGGTCAAAAACAACGGGTCTCTCTCGCTCGGGCCTTTATATTCGCATGCCGACATAATACTACTCGACGATCCGCTGAGTGCTGTCGATTCGCATGTTGGAAGGCATATCTTCGACAATGTTATTTGTAAGTTAATTTGTTTGAAATTTAATATTTTTATTAGAATAGATAAAATTTATTCTATAATATAACCACATCGTTTAAAGCATCAGCAACCGGTATTTTATCGCATAAAACACGAATACTCGTCACTCATGGGCTCACCTATCTGAAATACTGCGACAAGGTCATAGTTATGAAAGGTACTAGTTTGCGATCTACTTAATGCCCTGCCTTGGCCCCGTTAATATGATGTTGTCTTCTGATCATGTGTTCGCATTCAGGTGGCGAAATCAGTGAAATGGGAACGTACCACGAGCTGATCGCACGTCAAGGAGCTTTCAGCGAATTCCTTGAAGAATTCCTAGTTGAGGAAACGAAGAAACGAGGACGAAGTGTGAGCTTCGGCGACAATGGTACGCTTTAGATTACTACTATGCTCTTAACTTCATCTGAGTTCCGCTACAGCATAATTGGATAGTTGGGTTGTCTACTGGTGTCTCGATGTAATAGTTCGTGCTACTAAGTCAATCCCGATTTTGCACAACGAATCCTTCAAAGTATCAAACCGAGCTTCACCGTTAGAACACTGAGCTCGGGGGAATGATTTGAGCGTTGACTCAGTTAAGGACGCGATGGCGCGTAGACGAATTATTCCTCAACAAAGGCGGGGGCGTAGCAAAGCACCGATGACCGAGAGTGCTGGGACAAGGGCACATGATGTTGGCAATGCCCCACTGGGGGTCGAATTCGGTGGCTGTAGGGAAGAGGTCGTACTGAGAAGAATACTGTGCCTGCTTTCCCGTTTCTGGGCACTGCGTGCCACCTCACCCTCCCCCCTTTGACCCCTCAGGACCAATTTTTCTGGTATTTG